CTTTTCCCAGAGCTCCGTGTGCGTGCCCTGCGGCGCTGGATGTCCGTCGATGATGCTTTGGAACCCATCGACCACCGCCTGGTTGTCCACGAAAACGTGCACGGGCCGTTCGGCACACGCCGTAAGGTGGACAATGGCGAGGGTCTCCGCAACCTGGGCGTTCTGCGTTAGGCCGTGAACGCGTGCACTGTAGTTCATGCGGTGATCGATGCCGTAGTAGACGCCGTAGCCCGCTCTTGCTAGCAATGGGATGGCTTGGTTGGTGCATGCACCGTCCGTGGCAGCGTAGACCCATGTCCAACCAGTGTCGTGGTCAAGGTTGGTGGTGTAGGTGTCCTGGGCTGAAGCCGCAGGATCTCCCTCAGGGGGGGGCCGCGGTATGGGCTGTGGCAGCGGGTCCCTCGCGAGGTCGGCCTGCAGGTCGAGGAGGGCTGGGTCTTCGTCAAAGAGCCCGCAGCGTCTTGTGTGCGGCGGAAGACGGGCCCACTGGTCGTCACTGATGAGGGTGGTGAGAGGGAGTCTTTCTCGGGCCCAGCACTTGCAGTCGCGGACAGTGTGCTCCTGAGTTTCCTCTTCCTCGTCGCAGTATCGGCAGATGGGGCTGGGGTCTGCCGACGCGTTTGATCGGGATCGTCGCTGTTGGGTGTGATCCCCGCCCGACAGGTAGTTGAGGAGGAGCGCCAGCTGCCAAGCAGTGCATTTGGCTGCTCCCTTAGTTCGGGCGAGCCACGTGCTGGCGAAGAGGTCGAGGCCCTGTCTGACAGAGGCTAGGTAGCCAAGGTCGTGTCGCCGTGGCTTGATCCTCCGCAGAAAAGCCCTGCGTTGCGAGGCCCGCAGCATGTGTAGGAAGGCGTTTCGGGGTAAATTCAGCCAGCTGATCTGGCAGCCCCAGTCGTCGTACATGATGCCAAATGTGGGCCAGGTCCATCGGAGCTGCTGGAGCGACTGGACGAGTCGTCCGACGGGTCCTCCACCAAACAGGGTCTGGACGTGGTGTTGAAGGTCTCTGGCGAGCCCGCAGAGTGTAACGCCGCGGTTTACCTGTCGCCGCAGGCACAGGAATGCTTCACGCCGCGTGATGGCGTCGATATCCAGGGCGTGTCCTGGGACGCACACGGCCATGAGAGTCCAGAACTCGACCCACTTGTTCCCCTTGGGGCGGATAGCCGCCTCGAGGGCGTGGTTGTAGGCAGTTTTGGCTGTGCCTGATGGTGCTTGAATGTCGGTGCCCGTGGTGCAGACGCTGGCAGCCAGGGAACGGGCGTGCCGCGCCTTGATAAGCATCGGCGATGGGAGCTTGCCAATGCGCGGCAGGCGGATAGTCGCTCTCCGTACACGGGCGTCAGCGGTGGCCGTGAGGTTTAGCGCGGCTGGAGCCGGCGCTGCCTCTGCGTTGATGTAACTCCCGACGAGCTTGAAGGAATCGACCACACGTAGGGGGCGCTCCGCCAGTGTGAGCTGGGTAACGGCGGCGTGAAGCTCGTCGGTGAGCGCCCACCCTGCCACTTTACCAGGGTGAATGCGTTGACCTGAGAATCGATCAAACTTGGCGGTTTCGTCAAGAGATTTCTGCATCTCAGACGCGGTGTGGGTAGTGGAGTTGCTGTCGTCAACAAAGGTAGTGCTGAGTGATCGAGGAACGTATCGATGCTGCCTCTTTGTCCACACGCACATGAGCAGCTTGATGTCGTCCAGGGACCACGAACTTCCCTGGAGGTGACCGCTAGTCCTGGCCAAGTCCTTAGAGTACGCTCCGTTCATGCGGATGTAGCGTTTGTGGTGTTTGTAGAAATTTCGGCGGACAGTGACGATGTCTTGAGGGCACCCCGCGTGCAGCGCAAGGTTAAGGCAGATGTCCGTGATGAGGTAGTCGAAGCACTTCTGTCGGTCAAGGGCAGCTCCAGCTAAGGGGAGGAGTAAAGCCCTGGCATGCTCGATGCGCAGGGCGAGAGAGGTGCTGACATCCCCAATGGTATAGAGAGAGAGAGAGTCCCTGTTTGCGACCACCACTGCCTTGAGTACTGCTATCGCTGGCAAGCTCGAACCCTCCGATCGGAGGGCAGTGTCACGGGCTGGACTGTGAGCACACTTTGGGTCCAATTCGCATCGAAGATGCCTGAGAACGAACGGCAGCGGAGGAGACCGACGTGTGGCAGCATGTCAACACACATACACGGGGTGGAGGTGAAGAGGAAGATGTAGGAGATAATAATAATAAACTCTCGGGTGGGAAAGAGAGAGAGAGAGAGAGACAGAGAGAGAGAGAGAGAGAGAGAGGCCCAACGCGCGGCCGTAGGGCGGTGCCGCGGTCCTCTCTTCGGAGCGCTGGTAGGTGGATCATCCCCCGTCGGGATGGCACGTACTCTCTCGGGGAAAGAAGGGAGATGGAGTTGAGACATAGGGAGGTCTAACGAGGTTCGGGAGGAGGGAAAGAGAGAGAGAGAGAGAGAGAGAGGGCCCAAAAAGCTCCCCGCGACACTGCTAGGCGGTGTTGCACCCACGAGAGCAAGGGCGGCCTGGTTCGGGAGCACTGGTGACGGCTGCTGGCACAGGGGAGAGATCGGGAAACGTGCGGAAACAACCCAGGCACGGGAGCATAGGGCAGGGACACGGGATGTGGTGAGCACGCCTGGTCAGCCTTCCAGCACAGGCCACTCACACCCTAGCCATGACCGGGTCGCACACATTCTGGGGGAGCGGGGAGAGTGAGGGAGGGCAGTATGGTGGGTTAAGTAATGGAGCAGATAGGGTGGGAGGGAGACCAAAAATCAGCCCTGGGCCTCATGATAAATCTGGAGGTTACCAGAGGCATCACTAATTGGGATCCTCCTTCTACTCGGCTTGGGGACTCTGCCACTCGGGGTGCACATGGGGACAGGGAGGCCAGTGAGACGACCAGCGACGACAGGGATGGCAGCGCCTACCATGCCTGTGATCATCGTCTTTACCACCGCCTGCTCCTCCCCGTTGGCGAAAGTGAAGGGGAGCTGCATAGAATTTGAAATCTCCTGAAGAAACCACGTCTCTCTGGTGTGGGTCCAGTTGAGCGTCACATAGGCCTTCATCACCTTCATGAGGCCCCACTCATCCACAGGAAAGACTAGCCACACCAAGAGGGCTGATATTAGGCCAGCTGCATAACCAATCACACAGAACTGAAACGAAACCATCTCCATAGATGACGACGCCATAAAGGTCGAACTCTTCGAGGTCAAAGTAGTTTTCATGATCGTCTCAGCTTCACTCTCTGATGATGACTCCACGTCCGTATCTGTTCAGAGGGCGCTACCATTCACGATATTCAAGACCATCGCCACCGCCTTCGACTTCTGCTTGGGCACCTGCTTCCTGGGGCAGTGTGCCTGGATGCACTTGTTCACGTTGCCCGTGATGCCCTTGTCGGTGGACATCGCCTTCTCGAGGATGTTGGCTGCATCGCCCCACGTCACACGCTTGGGCAACGTCTTCTTCTTGCCCAGTAGTGACTGCAACCAGCCTTGTTCAGCACGGCGCATGTAGTCCTCCGACGAAGGGGCCTCCGCAACTGGCGTCGGCGAAGTGTCACGAATGTCGGGCTTCGACGCGGACTGTGTCGCCTTCTGATCTTTGTCACCCTCCAAGAGTTTCGCCATCTTGTCTCCGAATGAACTCTTCATCGCCATGGCCAAGTACTCGCCCTGCTTACGCAAGCGAAGTTCCTCTGCCCTGTCCTTCTTGTCCTTCACGAAAGCCTGGTATTCTGGATCTGCCTTGGCTAAGTTTTCCCTCATCTTGATGATGTCGGTGGTAGAGGCCGTATCTTTCGAGCGGGATCTCGGGCGCTGATCTCGAGAACGGTCCGAGTGGCGATCACCTCCATCACGCCCACGGTCGCGATCATCACGAGACGAGCCTCCACGCTCACGATCTCCACGGCCTCCACGGTCACCTCCGCGTCCTGGACTGTGACGACGCTCACGGCTGTCCCCCCGGCCGTCGCGGTAGTCCCGACGATCACGATCGCGATCCCGATCCCTGTCGCGATCATCACGTCTCCCCTGCGAGTCGTACCACCCGTCGTAGGAGCGCCACCTCTCATCTCGCTCGCCTCCACGGTAGCTCCAAGACGGGCGGCGTCCTTCTCCACCCATGGTAGTGTCCGCCTCGTACGAAGAACGCCAACGACGAAGAATCACTCGAGCCTTCTGTATGGCAACGGACCACGGACAGGCATGGGCTGCGGCGCATATCACCGCCGAGGGGTAGCCCACGAGGTAAAGCTCCAGGGCCAGCCCCAGGATCCAGGAGACCGCGACGGGAACCGACAACTCCAGAAACTGGGCCCGAATCTGCTGCCCCGAGAAAATCGCCACGATCATGTTGAAGCCCCGCGGGGGCTGGCCTGGCCAAGGGAGGATGTTCATCTTCGGACGGGGGCCCTCGGAGGCCTTGTGGAGCCAGATCCTGTTGTCGTTCTTGGGGGCAAGCCAGAGGGAGTTCCCATGAGGCCAAACTTCCATATCTAACCAAATACACGGACTTTCAGGATCTTCCAAAACACATGCTGGGGATAGTTTTACTCGATAAACCTCTGTCAAGTACTTGAACACGCATAACCTACAATATACTTTGCTGATGCCTATGATGTCGTCGACATATCTCCTTTGACGTATTTCTATAAACACCGATGATGATGAAATGGTGAAGCCAGATGATGCATATCGTTCAGGATGTTTTTGAGACCGCATCTCGAACCACGCCATAAGTATAGATAATGCAACGCCCAATAGAACGCCACCAAGTGGTAAGCCTCTGAGTTCATATACAATGCCTCCAATGGTGACTAGCGAGAGCCAACAGTATGCCGGCATCGTCTTTGCAATATCATGCACAGAAGCTCGGAAGTATTGCGGCGGAGTGCCGCCACGGAACGTCTTTGTGATACACTGACGGCCTCGTCGAACTAAGGCTGAGTCCGTCCCCAGCTGCTTAACAAGTTCACGAGAGACCTCCATCCACGCCTGGCCCACGAACTGCGCGCTGCACTGCTCGTAGGCCTGGTCGGCGTCCACCACCGCGACCGAGATGCACGGCATGAGGGCTCCACAACACAAGCACGTGTCCGTCGACGGCGGATCTAACTCATCAGATATATGCCGCAGCTCGGCCGCCGCGTCATTCATACTGAAAACTTCGCAAGACGTACCTGAGGCACGGAGAAGATGGCGAGCAGCACGACCAATGCATTTATAACCTGCAGTGCTTGGCGCCTCCGCTGAGTTAACGATGCGCCTCATGCAGGTGTGCCCAGCCTTGGTGCATTTTTTCGTCCCGTCGGCGTCGATGCATTTACTCTTCACCGTCGGGGAAAAAACATACGGGGGGCATGTGGCCTTAGTCACGGGCGGCAACATCGTCGGAGACCGTAGCCAGGCAGGTAGACCCTCGTCCACAGCCAGGTGGCCGCGTCCTGGCGTGTGAGATCGAGGCGGAGCGCCCAATCACCATCAAGTGCAGCAGTCTGATGAAGCCACCTGATCACATCTGGGCCGTCGGCAACCCACGTCTTGTCAGGTAGCTTATCGTCGGCAATAATGATCTTACCACCTGCCATCTCCACAGACTTCTGCATATCAGCTTCGAAAGCTTGCCACCTAGCAGGGGAATCTTAGAATACTGAAGTTAAGTCCGATTTCGAAGATGATGAAAATCTCTTGTTCAGATAATCCAAACCCCGACGTGCAATCTTGGGTGCCAATCTCGCCGTAGCCGTCCATTCAGTCAGAGCAGCCCGTGCAGCTTTCAACGACACCCGAGGAGTTGCCCAGACAGGCAAGCGCCACGGTCCTGAAAGCTGTCGGAGGTGAAGGGGGCCTGAGATAAACCCATCTGCCTCGACTGGTGGTGGTAAAGCTTCAGAAACATACTCTGCACAGAACCTACTGGCGCACACCTTGTCTTTCCAAATTCTGCGGGCACGATATAGGACACGGGTAGGACGACGATGCCATTTACGTGCGGGTTCAAAGCGCATGTGGTTAGACATCGCGTTAATGGCTCCCTTGACGGCCTGCTTCAACCGATGGTCCCGAAACTCATGAGGTAGTTTTAGTATTGGACGCTTTGCTGCTGGAAGCTGTAGCCGACGGAGATGAATATCAATATGGAAACGTGCCATGCGTAACCTCGAGAAGTTCTCAAGAAAGAGCGGCGCCATCTCCGCAGCACGAAATAATATATATCCCTGCTCCGCGCGCGTCATGAACGTGCAGAAAGGAAGGGGTCGCCACTTCGCAGCTAAGAAGGCCAGTAAGAGGCCTAGTCGACACCACTCGTAGATCCACAAAGGGCCGAATTCTCCGGTATAAAAGTGATGTTCCCGAAGCTGCAGGTCGTGCAAAGTGGAGCAAGGTGCAGGTTCTGACAGCGCGCCTGGAAACTGTGCCAACGGGCCCGTCGACGTCGTCACAGTAGGATCTGCAAACGCTGGTGTCGCCGTCGTCCAAGCTGGTGGTGGATACCTGCGGGTCGGGGCACGGCGCCAAGACGGAGGCCGAGAACGAGGTTCCCTCTTTCGAGGCGGGGGTTGCAGCACACCCTGACCTTTACCTGCTCTGACTCTTGCTCGTCTGCCATGTTCGCGGACGGCCGACACCGACGAATTGCGAGAGCTTCGAAGTGAAAGCTGGCCGACTCCGTCGGTAGCCACAAAAATGGGATGAAGAAAATCGAGCCTCCACTGCGTTGTAAAGCACGATATCGCGGTCGATTGCCTGGGCGCACGCGGGGCTGGAGGAAGGACCTGAAATGCTCCATCACCCTGCCCAGGACCCCAGACATGGGGGCTGCCCTCAAGATAGCCTTGCCGAGGTAGAGTGCCGAATGAGATCCCAGTGCGTACACCACGGCCCTATGAGGGCCAGTATCTAAACCCAACATGCTGCTGAAAGCTGTGAGTACAATCGGTTCGTTCCAGTCGTAAACTCCACGGTGCCACTCAGGCGGAAGAACCTCGAGTAGCCGACGTGCCCACTTCCGTGGGCGATGGTCATGTAGAGCGAGCCGCAGACGAACCAAGCCTGACATTAACAATAAAACACTGAGGGTACTCCATAGCGGTGGACCCTGAAAAGCACGATACTGCGAGAGCCTTTGCCCAACGAAGGAGGAGAGGAACGAGATGACGGATGTAATGATAGCACATATATGACGGTGTCCCCTACGTTGCCAAACCCACTCTCGCATGTGCGCTCCAACCTCACCCTGAGTCAAGCCTGAATATGTTTTCCAAGTGCGCTGGAGGAACTGGATGGTGAATTGGCAAACCCCTGGATGGTTAGAAGGGTACGGCATGAGATATCTCGAAACTTCAGAACCTACCGAGGTCGGATCCAAAAATGCCAGCTCTGGGGCTCGGGCCAGTCGATCTCGTCGTACGCTCCCAGCGTGTACCCGTGGTCCATCCAGCTCTGGTAGGGCGCCGCCGACTCCGAGTCCGAGCCCGACTCCATCGCGCGATCCCTCGCACGGATGTGGGACGGCGCATGGTTGCACCACCAGTCGGTCTGAATCGCGCGGATCCTCGCTTCCAGGGTGACCTGGCGCCATAGATCCTCGAGGTGCCACAGCCACGGACCGAAGGTCGGGTACGTCGTCGAACTCAGTTGCACCAAACATTGCAACCAGTCTGCACGAAAGGCTAAGAACCCACGAATTATCTCGAACAGGGTGTTATCACCTAAGATGTCGAGGACTGAAGAAGGCATGGATGAAGAGGGGCACGAACGAGAAGAAAACCTGCTTGATACACGCGTCGGACTCAAACACGTAGCGTACACTATGAAGCGCGCGATCCCTAGCTCCCCGTTGCCCAGAACAGGCCGTGTCGAACCAAGTTATGAGAGAGTCCCTGTTTGCGAAACCACCACTGCTGAAGTACTGAAATCGCTGGCAAGCTCGAACCCTCCTAAGAGGGCAGTGTCACGGGCTGGACTGCGAGCACACTTTGGGTCCAATCCGCATCGAAAATGCCTGAGAAACGAACGGCAGCGGTGAAGACCGACGAGTGGAAGCAAGCAAGCACACACAGGATGGAGAGGAAGAGCAGGATGCGGAGGATGATGAGGCTCTCGGGTGGGAGAGAGAGAGAGAGAGAGAGAGAGAGAGAGAGAGAGAGAGAGAGAGAGAGAGAGAGAGAGAGGCCCAACGCGCGGCCGTAGGGCGGTGCCGCGGTCCTCTCTTCGGAGCGCTGGTAGGTGGATCATCCCCCGTCGGGATGGCACGTACTCTCTCGGGGAAAGAAGGGAGATGGAGTTGAGACATAGGGAGGTCTAACGAGGTTCGGGGAGGAAAGAGAGAGAGAGAGAGGGAAAGAGAGAGAGAGAGAGAGAGAGAGAGAGAGAGAGAGAGAGAGAGAGAGAGAGAGAGAGAGAGAGAGAGAGAGAGAGAGCGGACAAGTAGGCGGACCAGGGTCCGTCCGCGAGGCGCACTGCGGTGCGACAACTCGCTAAACACTATTTGCGGCGGTGCAGCCTTAAGAAACGAGGGCGGGCAACACAAACCCCCTCCCCCGGCGCAGTGCGACAGACGCTACAGACGGCGGACAGACGGTGAAGATCTCACCTGTCAGACCGCGTGAAGAAAGAGGCCCCAACAAGAAAGGCGACGTGCTGACACGTGGCTAGGCGGCTTGGCAGACCGCCAGTTGGGCGCTTGGCCGCAAGGCGGCGCGCAGTGACGGGGCACCCCCCGCCCCCACGCCCTGACCCCGTGGACGCGGAGCCACGCGTACACACGGGCAGGCAGAAAGGAGGAGATTAGCGCGGGGCACCAGGTGGAGCGCCGCGGAACGATGACAGCATAGCTTGGATGGTGAGTGACGGCACGGCACCATCGGGCGAGGGCGTAAGCAGCTCGGCGAAGGCTCGCCCGGCGCTGTGGAGGCGCTGGAGTAGAGGGCCTTGACGGGCTTGAGCGGCGGCAAGGTCCGCGGCGAGAGCAGCACACCTCTGCTGGAGAGCGGCCATAGCCTGGGACAGCTCGGTTTCGCGGTCGGTGAGGGGAGGTTGCTCAGTGCCAGCGGCTGCGGGCCTCGTGACAGGGGTGTGGTCCTCGGTACGCCTGGCCAGGTGGTGGACTAGCGTAGTACGGCACCCCGTATGCTGACGTACGTCATCCTTGAAGGGTGACTGAAGGGGAGCACGCGGCCCCAGGGCTGGAGCCGCTAGGGTCAAGCCCCGAGAGGTCGGAAGAGCTGCGTCCTCTCGCTCAGCAACAGTGGAAGCGTGGGCGGGGTGCGAGGGCCTGCCTGGTTTAGTGCCCTGCGGGGGGGCTGAAGCCGCCCCCGCGGGCTGCCGCTGGTGGAGGGGCGGAATGGTTTGCGCGGTGGGGCCAATCCTGATGCCGTACGAGGGCTCTGAGGCCAGCCGCGTAGTAGGGTGGCGCCTCGATAAGGCAGTATGGTCGGCAGTGTGAGATGTCGGCGGTGCGTCGTCAATGCCACTTAGTCCGCGGGGGTCACCGTGGTCGTCGTCGGCGTCTTGGCGGTGACCGATATCGACATATGGGAGCGATGTCGTTCTCGGAGACGGAGTCGCGGTAGGCGTCGAGAGGTTGCCCGACGGGGCAGGGTTGTCGCTGGCTGGGCCGTCGTCCAAGACGTCCAATCCCCCACCGAAGCTGAACGGGTCGTCCTCCTGTTCGTCAGCGTCTTGGGGGTGAGCGGCGTCGTCATGTGGGTGCGGTGCCGCACTCGGTGGCGGCATCGAGGGCTTCGTGCGGATGCCCGACGGGGCAAGGTTGGCGCTGGCTGGCCCGTCGCCTAGGAAGTCAAGTCCCCCGCCAAAGCCGAACGGGTCGTCCTCCTGTTCGTCGAATAACGCCCGTTGGGCCTCGGCCCAGAGCTCGTCCGGGTTCTGTGGGATGTCTGGTCCAGCCGCGGGTGGTGCCTGGTCCGACAGCAGGGGGTTTGGTTCCATTTTGTTGAGTTCCGCAGCTGTAAACCCAGCCCTGCGGTGTGGGAGCGGGAGTGTGCGGTGTCTGCGCTCGTAGATGGCGACAGCGACCCCGTGAAGCACGGTCGCTTGGCGATGTCGTGTTTTGGCAGCTTCGACAATGTCGTCTGGAAGGTTGTGAGTGCGTGCCGCCGTTGTGGCGAGGGCGTCAGCCTGACGATTGAACTCCTCCGCAATGGGCCCGATGAGCCCGAGGTCGATGCCCATGTCTCCCAGGTGGCTGGCGATTTTCTCGACGCGGAACATGTTTGGCTTGGCCATAACACATCGGTGGATCTTTTCCCAGAGGTCCACATGCGTGCCCTGCGGCGCTGGATGTCCGTCGATGATGCTTTGGAACCCATCGACCACTGCCTGGTTGTCGACGAAAACGTGCACGGGTCGTTCGGCACATGCCGTAAGGTGGACGATGGCGAGGGTCTCCGCCACCTGGGCGTTCTGCGTTAGGCCGTGGACGCGTGCACTGTAGTTCATGCGATGGTCGATGCCGTAGTAGACGCCGTAACCCGCTCGTGCTAGCAAAGGGATGGCTTGGTTGGTACATGCACCGTCTGTGGCAGCGTAAACCCATGTCCAACCAGTGTCGTGGTCGAGGTAGGTGGTGTAGGTGTCCTGGGCT